AGGGATCTCTGGTAGGATGAAGGGACATATCTCGGAAGGTCTGAAGGAAGTGGCTTTTGAGTCACCCCTGAGCAACGTCGATGTCAGGAACAGATGTGAAGATTTTGGAGGTGAGACACCAATCCCACTTCCCGAAGCTTCCGCAACCTCCACAGTGTGCATCACACTCTTGTCAGGTGGGCCTGTGGCCTCGATTACCATCCTGTCTTTGAAAGCCTACCCAGGGAACACCCCTTTCTTGAAGAGCTGCCTTGTCTGGTTTCTATTCTGAAACAGTGAGGCCTTGGAGCTGTCTCTCCTCCAACACGGACACCTTAGGCTGCGGGTGAGCCACGGGTCTCTCAGCAGAGGTGAGCCATTCTTCCCCCCGCTGCAAGTCGATCCAGAAAGAACAGGGCGCTTGTTTTCCTTTCTTTGTTTGCCCATCAGACCTGCCTCCCAAGTGGCACAAGCATTCCACATAGCCCTCCCTCCCCTGGCACCGCGTAGCTCTTACTGTGATCTCATTAATAGATTTACTTATTTGAAAATCATTACCCAGGCAGACAGGCCTAACTAAGAAATGGTCTCCCAGTGGCGACGCATTAGGGAAGCTGCTGGATTGCGACATCAAGAGATTTTTTCCCCACTGAACACACAAAAGCCATCCGACTGTGTCAGAAATTACCACTGGGGATTAAATTTTTAAAAGAGAGCGATGAGATGGATTCAACACGTTCAAACACAGAGCAAAGCTTTTATTAAAGAGATAAAGCTCCAGGATTTTTAAGACCCATCCGAAGAACTCCTCTGCTAGGTGGGAGAACTGTTTTTGTTTGGGTTTGTCTTTGGTTTGACAATGGGATCGGAAGAGCTTGCGCCATGCGACCTGGCGCACGCCAGATGTGGTGGGTGGCAACACCCATTATGCTGGATGGATATGATGGGAACTGTAGCCTAGCATATCCAGTGGGCACCAGATTGGGGATGTTTAGGCGAAGTCATGGAAGAGGAGAGATCGATCGTTGTGATTGGCTGTGGCAGCTGAAAAGAACTGTAGTGTGTGGAAATCCCTGAATACCCATTGACCTTGTGTTTCACTTGTGGGCTTTTGAGGGACTTACTCAATGGCACTTGACCAAACATTTCTTAAATACCATTCTACACCAATAGCCAACATTCCCAGTTATAAGCTTAGAGGGTCCTTCACTGCTTTGCACTTTCAAGCTACGAAAATAGTTGTTTTGGTTGGTCATTATTCTCACACTCCAATAGAACATCATCTATGTATTTGTAGTTCTCCTGTGGTGTAGAATCTTCCTCATTATGTGTTATCCTGTCTGCTTTATAGAGCTCCAAGAGACAAATTTTAAGCTGGAATTTTATCTGCCTCTGATGCATATGTTTGGAATCTGAGACAATTGCTTTTATGGTACCAGACAATGATGCTGAGATATCCTGTAGAGTTTCCTTTGTCTGCATTGGCAGCTATGACATTAGATTAAAGGTGGGATTGAAGGGGGTTGCTAGCTGATAGCAATTAAAGTAGTTTTTATTTATTTTTCTAAAATTAACGTCTGTTCGTAACGAATTTTCTTAATTTTTTACTATTTCCTTTGTCAATCTTGTAATGGCCTACAGTGAAACTTGTCTGTTGATCAACAATTTCTTAAATCCCATTCTACCAGTGAAAAGGAAGACTGGAGGCAATATACAGCAAAATTAGAATCTGCAACAATGTAAAACGGTTAAGGACAATGATCAGTAAAATAAGATGGACCCATAAAAGCACTAATCTGTGGGTGATCATAAACCAGGGTTGGTAAAAGGCCCTCTCCCTTCCTGACATCCTCGGCAACATTCCTGAGGGACACACTCAGCGAAAGACCTTTAATAGCAAACTCGAACATACAGGTTCTTTTTTTGCTGTTTTAACTCTTATAAGGTCTTCTAGGTTAAAACAATACGAAGTCTGCAGAAGCAGCCCGTTCCGGGGAAAAGCGTTGCAGAATCCACAGTTCAGACTCACAGGAATCTAAACTGATACAAATCTTTTCTCTGTCATCCTGAAGTTGTGACATACAGCTGCTCCTCTGGATGCTGTGTGCCTGATGCATTTTCACTTCATCAGACATGTAAAAATCTCCAGTCCTCCAGAGAAACTGACCCTACAGTCCTATGCACACCCATCTAGGAAGAAGTCCCAGTGAATTCAGTGGGGTATACGCCTGAGCAGACCTGGAGAGAGTCACCCTTTGAACCAGCAAATGGCACCTGCAACTGAATCTTCCCACAGCTTGGGGATTCGTGAAGCGTATGAAACAATACTGCATTAAAAAAAGGTGCCGTGACCCTGATGGCTCTCTCTCCTGAGGCTTGAAGGCTTTCTCCACTCCACGCTAGTGGGTAGACGCTGCTTCAGCCACTCTGAAACGTTCCTGCCAAATTCACTCCACACGGTGAGCCCAAGGGAAGCCTCCCATCAGCAAAATGGTCTTCATTCTGCTTGTGTCTCAAGAGCTTCAAGGGATGTCCACGCAGAAGATGGACGTGGGGCCGGGAAGGTTCTAGTCCCAGACAAGTCCCCCTCCATGGACCCTCCCTCAGTGGGCCTCCTGGCTCCCAATCCACCTGCTGTCCCATCGATGGTGCCACAGGCTTGCTCAACAGGTGAAGCCACGGTGACTCCTGCCCCTCCATCTTTCTGTCTGGCTAGATAAGAGGCAGGTAAGCAAGCAGATTGCCCTGGGGAAGAGCAGGAGCAAACCCACGGGGCTCTTGGTAGCAGCCCCTCGGCAGATGCCCAATCAGGCCTCCCATTGGCACCAGCCTTGGACCAGGGAATGCCAGCTAGTAATTCAAAGAATACAGGACTGCCAGGGTCCCCACAAGTCCTGATTTGTCCGAGAGAGAGAGAGAGAGAGAGAGAGAGAGAGAGAGAGAGAGAGAGAGAGAGAGAGAGAGAGAGAGAGATCGAGTCCTGGCGCCTGTTCTTTCTCTCCAAAAGTTTAACTATTTGCAAACCATTCCGAGGGCAATGTGCTGAGGGCGGGGTATGTAAAACTCTTAAATATCAAACAGAAGACTTCAGGAAGGTCACGGAGACAGAAGTCTGCCCCCATTGATGTCTCCCTAGCAGTGGGCATTTGAAGGTAGGCTGCTGCTAAACATGGAGGTTTTGTTGAGCTGTTAGTGAGCTACGCTAGCAGCTGCCATGTTGTACGTGAGGCTACTGGGCTCTTTAGTTCAGCGCTAAACTGTGTAGTTTGAGGAGCAGCTGCTCTCCGGGTTCTCAGGGAAGGAGTGAGCGCTCCAACCCATTGCCACCTCGTCCCCTGAGATGGAGATGCCAGCATTTGTAAAAGGAGTGGATTTTTCATAGCGGTGCCTAGCTAGACTATTTTTAAGTATGTATTTATTTATTTATTTTAAACTTTTATATGCCCTCACCATATGCCTCGCCATCTCGGGACGGCTCACAATACGTACAATTAAAAACAATACAACAAATTCCATAAAATGTTATATAAAAACAAAAACAACTATGACATTAATTTCAGCAAGAAGGTTGTGATGGCTGCCACTCTGGACAGCTTTCGAGGGATAATCCTTGCCCACCGTGCAGGCAGGTGGTCTGGAACAGCACTGTGCAAATTGGCAGGGTTTCGAACAGCTCCCCAGCGAGGAAAGATGGCGATGTTTGAGTTTAGAAATAAAGCTGCATGCTGCAGCTGGGTGATATTTTGCATAGTGAGGAAAAAGTGGGGAGGTTACCCCAGATTCTAGTATTATGAAAGGGGAAAAATTCTCCCCCTCCTGTAATTCTAGAACTTGGGGAAGCCGAGTGGCAGGACAGATAAACGGAAGCACTGAGTTCTTCTTCAGACGCAGTGCATAGTTAAAATCTGGAATTTGTGAGCAGGCATGCATAGGATGGTGCTCGAAAGCAAACAGTAAACCTTGCAATTCTTCACACTTAATTCTTCTTGGTTGCACTTTGCTCTTCAGGGCTGTCATCTTTTTAGGAAGTACATCCAAACTTATTGGGAGTACCTTCCACAAAGCGCAGGGGCAGAGCAACGGGGTGGAGCAGGGGAGCGCTGTGGGCCCCTCTGAATGGAGGGATTTCAGCACTGGGGCGGGGGGGGGACCATTGGGCTTCCTTGATCAGCTGCGTACGGAACTGAGCCTGGGTTTCTCCGATCTGGTTACGTGTGAAGCAGACTGCTCCAGGCTCTTCCCGTCTCCGCAGCCAGACAGGGCTTCTTCCCCCCACTGCCTGCGTGGGCATTTGGGGCCCTGGGCTCCGGGCTCCGGGGGCAGCCCTGGCCGCACCGGGCTAGCTAGCCGAGCGGGAGGGAGGACGGCGGAACGCCAGGAGACAAGAGGGCGGGGAGGGGGAGGAGGAAGAGGAGGAGAGGCAGCCCGGCCCTGCCGCACACGGCTGCCCGAGCTCCCTCCGCCCGCCTCCGAGCTGCACCTTTAAAAGTCACATCACGTCTGGAGGCCTGATTATCCATTAACCTGATGTGAGCCGCGCTTCCTGCGGGTGGCGTTTCTCCCCTCGCTCCGGCGCTTCTCGCTCGCTCTCGCAAAGGCGACGGAGGCGAGCGGGCTGGGAGGCTCGGCGCTCGCTCGCTCGCTCTCTCTCTCTTCACCCCCCTCTCCTTTTGCCAAGCCTCCCCTTCGCCTGCCCCCTCCCCCTTTCCTTATCAGCAATTCAGATCGCATGCAAAACCCCCCCCCCCCCCTCTAGCCTTTTCTCACACGGGCAAAGCGGGAGAGAGAGAAGCGAGCGAGCAGCGGCAGGGGAAGAAAAGCGCCGAGCCTCGCCAGAGCTGGGGACTCCATCTCTCTCTCTCTCTCTCTCTCTCTCTCTCTCTCTCTCGCCCGCCCCCTCGCTCCGCTTTCTCTCCCCTGCCCGCCCCCCGCCCCCCGCAGCGGGAGCAGAAGGGCCCGCGGCTCCCCTCCCGCAGCCCCCATGCAGCCCGGGGCCGCTCCGCGGGCGCAGCCGAGTCGGAGTTCGCGGGCTTGATCGGCCGCTGGCTGGACGAGCTCCGCCGCCGCGCCGCGCCGTGCCTGGCCCCCCGGCGCCGCTCTCCGCCCGCTTCGGCAGCCCCCTCCGCGGCCGGTCCTTTGTGCCGCCATGGGGTGGGCGAGGAGACCCCCCGGGCTCCCCCTCGCCTGCGTTTTCCTGCTGGCATCCTGGCTGGGCAGCGGCCGCGCGGGCTGTCCGGAGCGGGAGCTGGAGTCGAGGGAGGAGGCGGCCAACGTGGTGCTCACCGGGACGGTGGAGGAGATCATGAACGTGGACCCCGTGCACCAGACCTACTCCTGCAAGGTGAGCCCGGGCGGGGGGCGTCCGCGGGCCGGCTGCGGGGGTCGCTGGGCGTGCGCAGGGCCGGCTCTCCCGGGAGGGCTGCGGGCGCGGGGCGGTTTGCGAAAAGTTTTCTGCTTTGATCCCGTTGTGCACGGTGCTCCTTACACGTGTTGATCTCCTGCCCCCCCCCCCCCCCCCCCCCATCCTTCCCATCGCAACCCCCCTCCAGGGAGGAAGCCGCAGGTCAACCTTGCACTTCGGCTTCGGAAACGTACATCCTGTCGCCAAGGACACGGCTTTCAGGGCATGGCCCCCGGGAAGCAAATCTGGAAAGACCCCCCCCCCCCGGTGGGCTCCTGTGCAGCCTCCCTCGCTTCTGACTTTCTCTGGATGTAACTGCCAAAGTCGCAGCATCTTGCTCTCAGGCGGAGGCTTGTTCCCACAGCTAGTCTCATTCGAGCACCTTTTATTTCAATAGATCTACTCTGAGAAGGCCTAAGCTTCGGTATGGCCCCAAAGCTATTAGAAATGAACTACGTGGCCGTGAAATTGCACCCCACGAGAAACAGATGTGGGGGTGTTCCCCTTCACCACCTTTTTTGGTGGGAACTGGACATTTTCTAATGGAAAACTAAGCATTTTCAAAGGAAAAGGAGGAGTGTTACCCCCTCACTTTCACAACTGTTGCTCGTGCTAAAAGCTGCTCTTGTCTTTCACATGAATTGAACATCAATCAAACAAGCCCTGCTCCTGGAAAACAGATATTAAGAAGTTAATGGTAAAAACATTTTTTATTTGAAGTAGTCATAACTAGACACTCAGATATAGAAGTTTCTTTGGGAGTGTGACATTATTTTCTCTTGTGCAGGGTTATGTTTTCTTCGTACTTCTGGGAGTCAGCACATAGAGTGTTGCTGGTCGAAATGGGGAAATAGCGCCATTCGTTGTCGGCCACCCACCTCTTTACTTCAGAGTAGCCCTCAGAATGAAAAGAGGCAGTGGTCTTAAACACGCTTTTCCATAGAAATCAGTGGGGGCACATCCCCAGCGCCCCCCCCCCCCACCTTGCAATACTACGGGCAGCTTAGCTGGCAGGAAGCAAGCTTGTGTCGCATTGGCCTGTGTCTGGGACGGTCCCCTCTCTGTGCATTCCGGCAGGGATGTTTTACCCCGCTCCCTGGAGACGGCAGGCCTGGCCGGGGCACCTGTGAGCCGCTTGAGGGAGCAGGTGAAGCCCGTCTAGGCCAGGGCTTGGTTCCGAGCAGCAGCGGGTGAGAGTCCTCTAGTGGGAAGCAAAGCTGCAGGTCATGCAAGGGGGGGCCGTGTGACCCCCCCCCTTGAGCAGGAGGCGTGTGGGGTGGAATCGGGCGATGTCCCTTGGAGGTTCCTTTAAGTTGTTGTGTCTAATGGCCCAGCGATGTCGATCAGGGCCAGAGAAGTCGCGGGCCTTGTTTGTCGGTTCATTCATTTGCACTTGTCTTTTTGTGGGCTTTTTTTAAAAAATGGCCTTCTATGGCAAAACTCCTCCTTGCGATCATTTCCAGGTTTGCCTCCCTGATCCCCTCTTAAAGCCCCATTCGGGCACCTCCCAGTTCTTGCAGTTATGGAGAGAGTGGCCTCGCGCTTGCCGACCTCGTCCCTCTGTCGCCCCTGCATATTTCAGAACGTCGCTCAGTCCCGGTTCTGAATTGCGCAGGGAAGCAAGCTGGCGGAGCCGAGCGGCAGAGGAACGGGCCCAGTGAGCACGGGGTGGAGAGCAGGTGTGCATGTCTGAATGCCTGCACGGGGCTCCTGTGGCTGTGAGTCCCTGCAGCCAGAGCCCTCCCATTCTCCTCCTGTGACACACACACAAGGCCACCCCCAGTATTCACAGACTAGGCAAGTTGGCCTGCTTGCACTCAGTCCAGTCCAGTTCCACTTGGAGGCAACTCTGGCGCTTGGATGTCTGTTGGGGGTCCAGGCGGGATTCAGCCTCCAGACAACATGGGTCTTTGAACATGCTAAGCACGTTTAAGAAGGTGGCTTGACCATGTTGGGCTGTTTGTCCAGCGTGTTTGCTTTTTGTTTGTTTGTTGGTGGCCATGTTTGTTGGTGTTTGTTGGTGGCCATGCCCTTTTTGCTACAGGTCTGGGATAAAAGTGGGCCCCCTCCTATCATGCCAGGCATCGCAGCCCTACAGCAAGAGGTGGGCTCCGCCTGCTCCTTCAGGTGATGCTGCACTGCAGGAAGGACTAATGGGAGGCGCTTGCCATGGCCGGAGGGCCGTCCCTGCCCTCTTCCCGGCAACTGACCGCACCATCTGAGGCCCTTCTCTACTGCCAGCTTCACCCCTGGTGCCTCGCCAAATTGGATCGTATCGGCCCTCCTCCTCCAACCTGGTGCCTTCCAGAACTGTGCAGCCACAAGCCCCAACACCCCCAGCCAGCTGTGGCTAGAATGCTGGGAGTTGTAATCCAGCACACGCAGAGGGCAAGCCGGGTTGGAGAAGGGCGATTTAAGCCCACCCGCTTAGGGGAGCAGTCTTAAACTCAAGAAGCTGCCTCTGGAGCAAGGCAGATCATTGGTTCACTGGCTCAGTGCTGTCTAAACCTGGCTTTTTTCACATCAGCTCCCATTAGCCCCAGCCAGCATGGCTTCCAGTTAAGAATGATGAGCGTAGTAACTACATATTCCCCGTCCTTTCTGCATCCTTCTCCCCTGAGTTGAGGCTTTCAGGGGCTTTTGTTCAGTTATTTCTCAGGACACACTGCTGGAGAATCATTGCTGTGGTTGCCGCTTCAGAAGAGCCATAATTTAGCAGGGCATGGAGAAGCTCCCGGATTGGAGCGCTGGACTGTCCCAGCAGGGCCGGGAAAGGGGCTGCCTGGGACCCCGGAAAGCCACTGCCAGGGCTGCAGGGACCATTGGTGTGGCTCAAGAGAAAACAGTTTCTGATGCTCCTTTGTTACCTTGTTCTTCCCCGTTTAACTGCCATGAGAAGGCTTGGCAGTCCATTTCCACCTTTCTCTGGTGAGGTTTCCCAAGATTTTGTCACTTTACTTCTGCTTGAATCGTTTTGCAAAATAAATAGACTCGATTTTACAGTGGGTTGATTTGAGAGGGTGAATATTGCTGTCCCTTCTTTGTACTTCCTTGTCATTTTTTGTCATGCCTTCCAACTAGCTGCCAACTTCCCTCAAATCGCTTTCATCTCAGTTCAGTGCAAACCCAATTGGAGAATCACTGGAAGCAATCTGTTCCTGCTTTGAGTATAGGTACTGCTTCTCCTTTTTGTAAACCTTTCTTCTAAAGCTGCACAAGTTCCCTTTTTAAGGCAAGAACACATGTTTTTCATTGGGGAAACTTTAAAAACTTCAGCACATAATTATGTATTTTTAGACAGCAAGTAACCTTTCTAAGAGGCAGGCTAACCCCTAAAAGGGAGCGTCTTCCGAAAGCTGCTGTTAAGGGAACCCAATCCCAAACATCTGCAGTGGTGCAAGTCGCCATACAATTTCTGGTTGGAAAAGTTTCAAAGCCACCAGTTGGAAGAGTGTCTGTTGTCGAAAACTTAACTCCAGACATGTTCCCCTAAGCATTTTTGGTTAATCTTTCTCAACCTCCGTCTGTTGTAAATCTCTGTTTATCAATTTTTCTATTCTTCTGCTAAACCTGCATGATTTTAAAAAACAACTCCTCTTTCCAAGTTGGTGGTGAATTTTAAAGAAAATTATAATGCACGAAGAGCAGAGGTGAGCAATTTGGTATCCCTCAGATATTTAGTTTTGGGAACCCTATAATCTCTGTTCATTGGCCATGCTGGCTGTGGCTTATGGGGGGTTGTAGTCCCAAACAGCTGGAGAGTGCTGGATTGTCAACCAGGTCTCCGCCCCATAGGTTTCCAATGTGAATACTAACAGCAGGAGGAAACCTTTGATAGAAGAAAAAGAAGGGGTGACGACGAATCTGTGTGTTGCCATCAGATGTGTCGGAACAGTCACATTTCTAGGCTTCTGACTGTCAAATCTCCTTTTGCTGTAACCTCAGTGCGGAACGGGCAAATGTCTTCCTCTCCGCACGTTACGTGGTTCTCCAGTTGTTCATGTTTGGTCTTGAAGAAAGTCTTACTACTCCTGGAAGGTCGTGTGCTTGTTACCCACACAAATCCCTTGGGATTCCACAGAAACAAGTGCTGCACTGGCTGTTCTGGAACTGAAACAGATGAATCCTGCCCTCCAGCAGAGATGGGATTAGGCTCGGGACTCCTTTTTCGAATGCTATCGTTTCCTCGGTGGTAGCTGCTTTATGCCTTGTGGCAGAAAAAGGAACCATCTCGTGGCACCTTCTCGTGGTTGAATAATCGAGATCATAAGCTTTTGTGGTAGGAGTCTGTGAAAGCTGAAGCCCAAAAAGGGATTCAATATGTGCAAGCATGCACAGATCACGCCATTAGACCAGCATTCTGAGCACACAGTGACCAGACATCTGTCCGTGGAAAACCCAGAAGCGGGCTGTTCCACCCTGCTCCCCTAGGTGGACTGACCCCGAACCCGGTGGTACCATGTGGCCATCAAATAGAATAACCACCAAGAGCCTTCTCCTCCAGAAATTTGTCCAGCTTTCCAATTTGGTGCCCATCAGCACCCCTCACGCTAGCCAAATGCCTTAGTTCACTCTGGGCTATGGAAGAGGGTCTTCCTTTTTCCTGAGTCTCCCACCGTTCAGCTTCGTGGGATGTTCCTGAGCTCAACGGGTTAGTGTTGGTCACTGAGCTCTTTATTGTTCTCGCATCAGTGCAGCACCCGCTGCGCTGCAAGGTGACACGGGAGACCCACAACACCGTGCTGAGTGGGATAAGCGTGATGGGATGCCAAATGTTGGTTTGGCAGAATTGGAACAGGCAATGTGGATGTTCCCACTGTGGGCACAGGAGCGAGAGAGAGCTTAAAGCCACAAACTTGTCCTCAATCCATGGAATACTCCCCCACCCCCAGCCATAAAGTTTCATGGAATCTTTAGAAGCAATCCGTATCAACACTTCA